AAAATTTGATAAAATATATTTAAATCCCAATATGATTTAAAAAATGTATTTTGTTGCAACAAAATAATTTATAATTGCTATTCTTTATCGCTTTTATTTCTATTTCAAATAAATACGAAATATCTGCTTCAATGAATAATTGAAATTAATACTGAATTAAATAAACACATTCATTTTTTATAGATATTAAGAATAGATTCTATAGTTCTCTCTATTTTTTAAAACGAAGAAAAACAGGAAGACTTAAAGCTTGATTCTTGCGTGCAAAAATTAACTACTTATTGAGCAAATTAACGCTTATTTCTAAGAAGTTGAGATTTAACTACATATCACTGTTTTTCAGCCAATCTAACGTATTGCCCACTCATGAATTGCAAGTCATTATATAAAACAGTATATGAAAGTTTTTGCGCTTTGTCTTACTGATTTATTGTTTCATTCATGAAACAATAAATTTAATATTAACTAGAATTGTTAACATCAAATAGAATGATGAATATTAGTAAATAGAATCATAGAATGTTAATAAATACATTAATAAATATAATAAATTTTATTTTTCCATAATCATATCTTCTCGTTTTATAATACGTTTTAATACAAAAACAAGATTTTAATAATAAAAATTAAATAAGGCATTTGTGTATATTTAATTTAGTATTTAGTAATCATTATCTAACAACTAATTTACATATTCTTCATTTATAGAGTTTGAAATTGAAAACTGTCGTTTCGTAAACAAGATAATTGCACGGTCAGCGTAAATATACGATACGTGTACAGAGCAATGCTATTTCCGGTGGAAGGAATTACAAGAAATTGCAGAGCTTCGTTATGTGACGGCACATGTATTATACACGATTTAATTATACACGATTTAACACAATGTATACGTATATTCAATGTATACATATGTATACATTGAAAATAATTGATGCTAGACTAAATTACAAGAGATTAGATCAAAAACGAAGGAATTTCAATATTTATCTCCTATTTTTAAAAAGATTTTTAATTTTTATTGATATTAAAAGAAGTATTTGTCAAAATTTGGAAAGTTCAAAAGAATATGATAAAAAAATAAACATTCTTGACAAAAAAAATAATTAGAGAGATAATTGGTTCATTTAAATATCTATTATAACTTCCCAATAAAAATAATTTTATATAAAAATTTCAAATGTTATTTATGCACCAATTTCTCGCATAAATATTTTACAAAGAGCTAGCTTTTTATCATATATTGCTGAGTATTGATTTTAAAGGAATTTATAAAAGGATTTAGAAAATATACAGGATGTTTTATAATTTGCAAATCAATTCTCAATAAATAGAGCAAGTCAAATTAAATAAGAAATCTATTTGCAATTTTCACAATAATTAATGAAAACTTAATTATTAAATATTTGACTTAAATAAAAAAAAGAATAAGTGTTCATTCAGCAAAAGAAAATGTACATGGCAAGGAAAAAACAACACAGCACTATATGCTATTTGTGCTGCTTGTCACTATTGCTGCTTGTAGAATGCACTTCCAAACAACTAATTATGCTTCTAGCAATTATTAACGCGCATGCACATACATTCACAAATTTTTTATTTTACATCAATTACTGTAAAAA